TATACGCACAAATTGTCATATCTAGTGCTTGAAATCTCCAATTAGAGAATGAGTATTAGAGAAGAGAGTTCGCAAGGTGCAAGAGCAAAATTACTTAAGCATCTGGTAATTGTTGGCGTGATTGCGAGGCGGATTGCAGACAACTCCGCTTTCGCAGATCTCCTCGACGACGATGACAACGACGTGTGAACGCTCGGTATCGTCGAACAAATCAAGCTCTCTTCGAGACTCTTTATCTCTCACGTCAATGGGATACTTACTGCTTATGCCTATCCTTTCGCGAGAGCACTAATTACGCATATATACACGCGCAAAGATGCGCCGTACACGTGGGTCTGCGTGACGCAAGACGTTAATAATGCCGCGCCGAGTGTCTTTTCAAGTTACACGTTGTTAAGGTAATTAGTTAAACAGCGCGCGGTTATTACGCACACGAATCACCTAACATGTTCATTTACGCGATTTATTAAGAGGCAGTTCGTTCGTTAACCTGGATAAGTAGCAGTTGACAGAAGCTGCTCCACGCGTTTTCAAGTAAGAGCTCCGTGTGTTATTACACAGTCTGGAGTTACAACAGCTATTCTGTAGGAAACGTGCAATTGGAAATATTTTTATATGTCTACAGCAAATGTTGCTTGTTATTTCTAATTGACTTGTTGGCTTGAAAGCCAAATAAAGACAATGGCTTGTTCATGCATACTAAAAACAATTCATATACACTGGAAAAATTCATATACTTTTACATGGAAATTACTTGTTCAAAACTAGAAAAATTAATTATCACTGTAATTTTTTAAAGTAAAAATGGATATTAATTAAAACATTTAAAAAAAAAATAACATAGGTAAAGTTATACAATTTATGCAAAAATTATTTGTAATTTTAAATTTAGTATTTTTACTTTTTAAAACTTTATTTTATGTTCAATGGAATATTTTTAATCTTGAAAATATGTAAGAGTATATTTCATATAAAATTACATATAATCTGTAATCTTCCATATGAGTAGCAATATTACATGATTATGCTGAGTCGAAAAAAACCCAGCATAATCACGTAATTCTATACAAATATTTTTATCAGTGTATTTCTATATAAATAAATTTAATTAAAAAATTAACTTATTTGGACCATACAAAATTTTTGTATGCGAATTCCGAAATTTAACTTCTCTCATTTTATTTATTTAGATAATCTCCTTTTTATTTTCAATTTTATTTCTCTCGAAAGACAAATTAATGAAACAATTTATTAAAGTTTAGATAAAAAAATTATGTCTAAATCAATTTGACTAGAATTAATCTGTCAAAGAATATTTTTTTTAAATTCCTCTAAATATCTCTCAATTATATTGAAATATAATAAAGTTTTTTGCATCCTCGCCGAAGATGGATTCGCATCGCTCGCTCGCGTGCATCCTCGCGTATGCACAACGTTGCGCAGCGCGTTGCACATGCACATGCACATGTGAATCCGCGTACCGTGTGGCGCAACGCGTTGTCGAAACATATTCGGTCATGCCTGAAGGAGCCGGTCGGCAGTCAAAGTCGCCGGCTCTTCTCGGTCGGACAAGTCTTGTCCACGGATTGAATATGCGAGACGTGCTCCCATTCGATCCCTCGGCGCGGCTCCGTGAACCGATTTGTTGCTCACGACGCGTTGCATTAAGCGCGCATATCTCGTTCTTTGCGTAACTCGGATTCGCGCGAGCGAGATGCATATCCGAGCCAGCGTTTGTCATATTTGAGCATGCGAATCACGTTTTCCCCCTTAAACGAAATAAAATTTCCCGAAATAACGAAATAAAAAAAGGAGATTGCATAATGAAGAATTGAGAATTGTTTGCTTTTCAACTAAAATAAAATTTCTATTAGCAGATAAAATCGGATATAATATAAAAGTAAAATTTTCCATTAAAATATGCGATATTAAACGACACGACTTTCAAATTTTCGTTAAATCGGGGTGGGAAAACGAGAGCTCATTATAAAGTTAAATCTACAGGATTTAATAATTGTTATATCGGCGACGAGATGAATAATGCAGAAGAACGATGCCGTATTCACAGCTTCTTTGTAATGCTGCCTTTGTAAACGTATGCGATATGTGATGCACTATAATGATGCAGCATACCTAGTACCTACATATATGTCGAATACTTAAATGTCACAACGATTACGGATCATTAATTTCTGCACGAAACGCAATTTCCTAATAAACAGAAAATAGGAGTGTTTAAGGCGCATTCCTTTTAAAAAGTATTATTTCCATGCGCGCTCAATTACGGCGGCAATTCAAAGTGCATGCAGATTCGCATCTCCATTTAAATCGTGATCGTATCCTTGCAATCTTACTGCAATCTTAATCGAGTAATTTTCGTCGATTTCTATGTCTTTCGCGGAAACGTCGAAAAAAATTCAATTAGACGTCTCATCGAATTCTTCTAAAAAAATTAAAAAAAAAAAAAAGAAAAAAATTGGTGAAATTAGATTTAATTTGAGAAAATTTGCGGTCGGGAAAAAAATTCCCATCCATGCTTTGTTCGCTGGATCATCGAAACCATGTATATCGGCAATCTAAAAAAAGAATCTCCGGCAACGTTTCTGCGCGTCGAAACGATGTCATCTCCGGTCAAATATAGCTACTATTCTACGAATACGAGGTAAGTCGAGCTCGTAAGTTCTATCTATAGACGATTCGAAAGCACGAAGCACCTGATACATCGTATCGACGTGGAGACGGACTTCGTGAAACATGCATGCGAGCTTCTCGATTCGTTACACTGACCTGGAACCGCGAAGAGAAAAAAAAAGAAACTCCGCTTCGAGGGATGCAATTATACGATCGCTCATGTTGCAAACGCGCAGTTATATTCGCGAGAAGACCAGCATTAAAGTTAAACGGTCCGATCATACGGGGTATCTCGCTACTGTCAATACATCCCTACCACTGTTCGACCCTTTGACCAATTTGGAAGGAATTTTTCATCGACGAAACCGCCGAAGAACTTCATTTTAATATCCCTATCGATATCCCAGTAATTAATTTTTCGAAAAAAAATTTTTTTCGAAGAACTTATCGTTTAGAAAAATTAAATTTATAAATTGAATGAAAACATCTCTTCAGAAATGAAGGATATGTCTAAAAAATAAAATACTTTTTTTTTCGAAGAATTTATCATTTAGAAAAATGAACTTTAAATTGAATGGAAACATCTCTCCACAAATGAAGGATATACCTCGCTATTATACTCTCTGTCGTGATATTAAACGCGGTTTCGTTGACGCGGAACTGGCCGCGGGACATGCACACGTTTTCTCCATTAAATAAACGCGAGGTATGTATCTCTACCGCGGATTTCCTGCGTGAGAGAGAGACAAAAGGTGTGTCGCGGAAAATATATTCTTCTTGACGCGACGATAACACATATTTGATGTACCTTCTCGACTATCTCGTTACGCTTGCGAGAAAGTCCATGTTGGCTACCTCCGTCGAGAAACGTGTCGTAAAATAAATAAAAAGACATCTCAAACACATCACAAAACGCGAATAAACGGTAAAAGCAATGTATATACACCGCGGGATATTGAGTGACAGACTTTGGGCATCCGTACATTACCTGTATTACGCACACACATATACAATATATATATATATATATATATATATATATATATATACACAATTGTAAATAATACGAGAATATAAGATACAAGCATTAAACTATTAACACGAGTGAGATGAATGTCGTTCTAAGTATTCTCAGGTTTTTAAAATAAAGCTAAAAAAATATATTTCAATGAAGAGATCTTTTCCAATTGAAATTCCAGAGAGAAAAGAGAAACAAGGAAGAAATTATAAAATATTCGAAAAGAGAATAATTCACCCTAGAATATTTTAAAATCTCTCTCCAAGTATTAGCTTTTAATTTTTTAGTTCATTCCCAGGGTCTCTCTGCTGCACTTTATATTATTATATATTAATGTAATAAAAAATCTATTTAGATATTATGCTAATATAGCGAGCATAATTTTTAAAAAACATTGCTTGAATATATAATTTCGAACTCTTTCCCCTTTAGCGCGAGCAATTTTATTGCGCGACCGAAATTGAAGGCAAAACTCGATTGTTTAATCCGCATTTAATGACGCGCCGGAGCTGATCCCCGATTTACGAGTGTGGAAAAAGGGACATCGCGACGTTAAAGCGACGTTGAATTATACGCGACAAATTATAGGCGACAATTAAATATAGGAATAAGGAGTCGACAGTAAAATTAAATCTCGCTCTTGACAACCATAATGTAATTTACAACGGGAGAAATGTCCAGGAATTGCATTCCAAGATTTAAAATGCATCTCTAACTTTGCCTCTAAGAGAGACTAATATTCAAATATATTACATATATATATTATTGCTAGAGTTGCCTCGTATTGATTTTAATAAAAATTGTAATAATTTTGTCCGAATGAGTGATTTATCTCCCGGGAAGCATCTTCGAAAACATCTTCGACGCATTCTTCGACATCCTTCTTTCATCTCGCGGATCTTATTGTCGCTCAAATAATTACGCTCGTGACTTACTACTGATGACCTGGGTTTTGCGATTTCCCCGACGCGCATCTCTTCGCTAATTTATTTTATTTCGAGTGATATAACCACTTCCGGATACTTTCACGCAACGTCGCGCGACGTCATCTTGAGTAATTAGCGTAATTATTATTGCGCAATCTCGCAATACTTCACCGCGTTCGTTGTAACGTAACGATTGTTATTACCCACATCGCATAAATCGGACGGTTATATAATTTTCAATTATAAACCAGTAATTAATAACCTTCTCTTTTTATTATAATTTGTAATCCAACGTAATAATTATATATTGGTTCGATTGCAATTTATAATTGTTATTTGCACAATATACGTGCGCGTAAAAATTTATATATATATATATATATATTTATTCATCGTTTTATATATATTGATCGTGCCGTTTGCAGGCGACAGAATGGTGGTTAAATGACATGTACCTGTCCGTCCCTTTGGCTCTGCCGATCAACAGCAACCCCGGCGTGGCCGCGAAGCCGAAGAGATTTGCCAACCAGCAGGAAGCCGCCGTGTTCCTCGCGCGATTTCTCACGGAATTGCTGAATTATCAGGAGTTGCTCGATAGGTAAGAAATTTTCTTATTTCTCTCCGAAGAGAAAGCAACCCCTTGTCTGAAACAAAATTTCGTTTCACATTAGACATAACACTCGAACAATTCTCTTTTCGCGCAAACACTCTATCGTTTCATTTTAAATGATATATTCCGTCGTGGTCGGGATAAAGAAGCGTTAATTCGCCTTAAAAATTAATCGCGCGAATATAAGAAGCGACATGCCAATCGACTCATCGTCGTCGTCGTCGTCGTCGACTGATTGTGAGTCGGGGACAAAAAGAAGCCGCACTGGAATCAATTTAGAGAGAGGGCGTACGTCTGCGAGAGGAAATCCGGACCGTAAGATCTATAGAAAGCGAGCATAAAGAGGAAAGGGAGCCGGGATGAGAATGAGCGGATCCTCAAAGGATCCACGCAGTATATCCTGCATCCGGACGGGGTTCCTCTCCTTTCTTTCAAAAAGTAAAACATGCAAATTCGCGAGAGGCCCGCCGTCGATTTCTCGATCGCGAACGAACCCTCATCTCGCGAGGAAGAGAATTCAATAAATTGTTAATGTTCAATTGATTAACATTGCTCCTTTTTTGGATAGTATAAGAATTTTTAATTCAATTTGTTTCTCAAATAATCATATTATAATGTGGCTGTCTATATTTGAGCTCGCTTATGTGACAGAGAGTAACATGCAAAATTAAATTACGAAAATAAGCTTTAAACTGATGTGGACAGATCCGGATTGGAAGTTGAACGCGTGAAATCCAAGGACGGTAAAACCATGCAACCGCTCTGCATGGCGCAGCATTATCAAATGTTCCGGATTTATCGGCGACCCGGTGTGAACACCGATGAGCAAATTGTCCTGGATAGAGCGTCCTCCGGCGATCACATTATCGTCGCGCATCATAATCAGGTAATGACAGGTGACTTCAAATTGTGAACAATATTTAGAATTAAACGCGAAAAATCCGATTCTTATTTTTAAAGAATTTTATCGATTATACTATTGTTTTAAGTTTATTGGTTAATTAAAAAAAAACTCAGCTGTTTAATCTGCAAAATGTACGTACACTGAAGAAAAGTTTGTTAATTTGACTAAACCCTTCAATTAAATTACTATTTTGTTAACTGAACATATATTAATATATTCATATTTAATTCAAATATACGTGTTGTGAATTTTAATATATTATAATTAATTTAAATATTTTATATTTTATGTTCAATTAACAAAATAATATTTAGTTGGAAATTTTAATTAAGTTAACAAATTCTTTTTTCAATTTACAACCGAGTAGTAACAGGTAATGACAAGTGATTTCAAATTGTGAACAATATTTAGAATTAAACGCGAAATCCGGTTCTTATTATTTGAAGAATTTGATCTATCGATTATACTATTGTTTTAAGTTTATTGGTTAATTAAAAAAAACTCAGCTGTTTAATCCGCAAAATGTACGTACAACTGAGTAATAACAGGTAATGACAGGTGACTTCAAATTGTGGACAATATTTAGAATTAAACGCAAAATCCGGCTCTTATTATTTGAAGAATTTGATCTATCGATTATACTATTGTTTATTAGTTAATTTAAAAAAAACTCAACTGTTTAATCCGCAAAATTACATACAATCGAGTAATAATTCAGTCAAAGAACGGTATCGAGAAAAGAAATACATTATTGATGCGTGATATCGTAATGTTGCAGTTTTATAGTGTACCGGTAAGAGCGTCCGATCGTGGTCGGATCACCGAGGTCGAATTGGTCCAACAGTTATTAAGGATTATGGAGACTAAAGCCGACCCCAGAACACCCCCTGTTGGAATTCTCACGACTGCGAAACGACCCGCCTGGGCGAAGGCGCGGGAAGAGCTGATAAAAAGTGCGTGTATTCAACTTTAAAAATGTCGATCAATTCGCGAAAAGAATATCACACTTTAAGCGCTTCGTTCAGTAAATAAGCAATGTGATTCCAAAGGACTGTCCAACATTTCAAGAACTTTGGCTATTAAACTCTTAAACTGCAATTAATTATATAGAAAACTTGTGTAACTTTCCAAAGTTTTCTAAGAAAAATGAGATTTTCGTTCCAATTTTTTGGCCCGTTAATTTTTTTTATGTATATCGCTATTACACTATTTCTATTTTTATTTATTCTGAAAAATAAAACTTTATTAGTCCATACATATTCAATTTTTAAAATTAAATTCAGAAATTAATTCAATCAATATCAATTAATCAATTTAAATTCGCGAAGCTCTGTTACGATTTTATTCTGTCGTTTTAAAGAGGAACACGATGATCCAGTTATCCAAAAAATAGGACGGTCGCGTCTTCAGACGACCCTCGTCGACCTTTTACCCTCTCGCCATAATTATCCACTCGCGTTCTCCGCTTATACCAATATTCGCAATATTCCCATTAACTCTCTAACCCGACCTTGCTCAACGGGGATCTACGACCTATCTATGCCAGTAAATCGAATAAACGGCTAGCGGTAACGAGTTAACCGCGACCTGCGTTGATTAATTAACGGCGGGAGAATCGCAGAGAGATAACAAAAAGAGATTGTAATTCTCGTTAAAATAAAAATGTTGTGCGAGGTCCCCCGTGTTATGACAAATCTCTCTCGTCAGCGCAAACGTTGCGCTGATGTTTCGCACGATAGGTGTATACTGAAACTAATTAAACTTATGTTACGTAATTCTGATTGTTGTCTTTCTCATCTCGAGATACAAAAAGATGATTTTGTTACTTTTATATATATATATATATATATATGTGTGTGTGTGTGTGTGTGTGTGTGTGTGTGTATGTGCGTCTAAATATGTCACAACGAAACTAATAAAAATATTTAAAATACACAAATTATAGAAATACATCTCAAATCAACATAAATTTCAATTTGCGCGGAGAATCTAATTTTCAAATGATTTAAAACACAAAGTCAGGAATGAAACTTTTTTTCAAATATTTTGAAAATATAATTCCAATTATTCCCTTCTAGTTTGATTCCTATCGTAGTTACAAGCATATCGTTGCTTCATCATTACTACACACTTATGATACACAATAATCATTACAACAGTGTACAACAATGCGCGAATATTACGTTCGGTGCGAAAATCGCGATACCATTGTATCCGATCATTATCGGAATTAACGAGAGGCTGCAAACCACTTCTAGGCGAGCGCAATCGTCACAATCTGGAGCTGTTGGAGCGCTGTCTATGTGTCGTTTGCGTCGACGACGACGTGCTACCGACCACGTTTAACAATCCCTTAAAGAAGGAGGATCGATGGATCGGCGATCGAGATTACGCGAACGTGCTTCATCATGCTCTTCATGGCGGAGGGTCCCGACACTTGGGCGCGAATCGTTGGTTCGACAAGACCTTCCACGCTATTCTTGGCAAAGTACGTACGCATTCAATATTTAACAGATTAAATAAATAAATTATTTAATAAACGCAGTTTATTAGGGTGTCCAGCAGACTCAATCAAAAAAATTCCCTGACTTTTTATTATTTTTTCCAAATATATAATTTGCATATATCTATATATATATATGCTAAATCAATTATATGTTAAATCATGACATCCTTAAAATATTTTTGCCAACAATGAAAATGTTAGGAAGTTAAAAAAATATACAATCTGCATTATGTACAATAATCGAAATAACATGTCACTATAAACTACTTTATATCAAATTTTTTTAGTTTATCTCTATTAAACACATTGAAATAAAATAACACGACGATGAAAATATAAATTAACGAACACGCTGTAGATGAATCGATTTTTAACAACACGAGAAATTAATGTGCTGGTAGTCAAGGAAAAGTTTATAATTTATTTAATAAAAATTTCAAATTATTGAGACAAATGTAGAATAATGTGAAAAAATCTATTGTAGATAAATAGCATAAAATTTCCTCCATAAATTTTCCCCTGACAATTCCAGATTTCTAAAATTCCCTGGCAATGCCCAGTTTTCCAGATTTCCCTGACTGCTAGACACCCTGATTTAATATTTAACAGATAAAATAAATAAACCATTAAAAATAAACGCAGTTTGTAAATTAATTCTAATTAATGTATGTAATATTATCAAAACTCGCGTTCAACCATAATACACGGGAAATCGAGTCCCCCGCGATTAATAATGCAATGCCTTTAATATATACACAATAGTGAACGTTTGTTCAACCAGATGTAAACAGAAAATACGCAACATAATACACCGGGTACGCATAAAATAGCGCCATTCGCTATTTTCCCGCGCGAGTCCCCAATCAAACACACATAACAATTCTTGCAATGGATATATACCTATGTATTTTCCGCGGATAGCTCCCTCAGTAAAATTGGACTTATACTACTTTCACCGCTTCCAAGACCACCTTTCGATATGATTGGTGTCAGGGTTCACGGGCGAAATCGTTATTCGTGAATCTGCGACTTACGACACCGCGCTTTCATATACACAGAGAGAATTTTTTCTTAGAATTTACCATGAAAATCATGGTAATCATACAGGACAATATGGTATTGGAAGAATTTTATAAGAGTTTCTCTGATTAATATTTACCACAATAAAAATATTAATATGTACGGAGTAAATTTTTTATATCTCTCTTATTGTGGTAAATATTGTGGTAAGTGATAGTAATCAGAGAAACTCTTATAAAATTCTTATAATATTGTCCCACAATTACAATGATTTTTAGGATAAATTAAGAGAAAATTCTTCCTATTTATATATTCTAAACACAACGAAATACGAAATATTTTTAGCTTCTTCCTATCGTGATATTTTCTTGGACAATGAAAATAGTGATATAATTCAGTCCAATTTCGTATCGTTCCATTTGCGACTGAATAATTAATTAATATATCGCGCTAGAGATACAGTTCTGTATTTTCTCGTAGCTTCGATATCTATATTTATATAAACTATATATAGCTGCAATCATCAAATTACAAGTGAGTCTATAAATTGTTTAAACTGTATAAATTGATGTATATTAAATAAGACAGTTTACTTTGTTCTTTCATTTTAATTGTGAATATGTGTGTGTAATGGTAACATTATTTATTAATAAAATTATAAATTATTAACTATTCGTATAATAAAAAAATAAAAACGTAGATATTTGAGAATCGCCAGACAGAATTTAAAAAAGTAAAACTCTTCTCTCGACCGTACTGCCAGTACGGTCGAGAGAAGAGTTTTACTTTTTTATTCGTATAATAATTGAAATTGTGTAATAATATAATATGTTTGTGATGAATAACAATAGATGCATTATAAATTTTAATTATTTAATATACATTTCTGTGTTATATATATATATTCATATTCATTAGCATTTGTTCATTTGTAAATATTTTGTAATCATTTCCTCATAGCCCATCGAAATTAATTAAATAATATTAATTTAAATAATTATATAATTATCTAAATTAATATTTTTAAATCAATCGACAATAATATCATAAAATATGTGTAATGAAAGTTATTCCAGATAGGGTTTCTTTTTTAAGGGATATATATATTATGGAAAATGCTACACTCGTCTATAATTCTTTCATAAATCTTTAACGCAGGACGGAATGTGGGGATTGACATACGAGCACTCCGCTGGCGAGGCACCGGCCATCTTCAAAGCTTTCGAGGAGTTAACCGAAAAGGTGGACTCTATGTCGCCACCGGATGAGAATCTAGTATCCTCGCATCTTCCAGCGCCCGAGAAGCTGGAATGGTGTCTCAGCGAGCAGAGTCTGAACGATATCAGAGAGGCCATGACGAACTTCGATGCGTGAGTACTCGAAAAGATTATACGGAGGTTTATCATTAATTTCTCATGGCAAATTAAATCCGCGACGAAAATTGCGAAAAAAAAATCAAACTTGAAAAATCTTCAATTGTTGATTCAATATCTTGCGCAGTTGAGCATCTTCGTGTGTAAAATTTGATCAGAAATAGTCGTATCTTCATGTTCCAGACTGGTCGAAGATTTGGATCTTTGTATCTTGTGGTTCGAAGATTATTCCAAAGACTTCATAAAGACATCCAGAGTCAGTCCCGATGCTTACATACAATTGGCGCTCCAGCTGACGTATTTCAGGTAAAATAAAGGCATCATGAAGATATCTTTTTCATTTTTTTCTTCGATTCTTCATATCTTCATTAGCTTAATCTTGTCCTTTAATTTTTCTTCTTCGATTCTTCATATCTTCATTAGCTTGATCTTGTCCTTTTAATTTTTCTTCTTCGATTCTCCATATCTTCATTAGCTTGATCTTGACCTTTTAATTTTTCTTCTTCGATTCTTCATATCTTCATTAGCTTGATCTTGTCCTTTTAATTTTTCTTCCTCGATTCTTCATATCTTCATTAACTTGATCTTGTCCTTTTAATTTTTCTTCTTCGTTTCTTCATATCTTCATATCTTGATTATACATATAACATCTTGATAGCAAAATTATATTAATTAAAAAATCTCAGAATAATAGCTCTTCCTACTTTTCTCTTCTATTGTTACATATGTGAAATGACGAAAAGTGTATGAGAATGAAAGTGTCAATAAATTCTCGTGATGTTCACAGACTCCATGGGAAATTGGTGGCCACTTACGAGAGCGCCGGCGTCCGAAGGTTCGCGTTGGGTCGAGTGGACTGCATCCGGGCAGCCAGTCCGGAAGCCCTCGCGTGGGCGAAGGCGATGTGCCAGGGTGATCCTCACGGTCAAACGAGTCAGCCCAACAACGCCGTAGACGGGAGCCCGAAAAGAGTTCAGTTCACCATTTACAGTGTAACTGAAACTTGGCATTTTTCCTATGCGATTCTCGTGTCGTGTAACACACACAACTCGAGTACACTCGACAGAGCTGCGACAAGGTCGAGCGGAATGCGTTTACTTATTTTACTTTTAGCTTCGTTATTGCCTTATCTTTTTCCTGCGTTTTATATCAATAAATAAATTTTATTTATATATGAGTTATATTTTGTGTAACTTTTATGATACTTTATTACGATAATTTATAATTAAGAAAGCTATTTGGTTGCGCAAAATAACGAAACCTTAAAAATAGCCTCCTAAATATATACCGGTAATTATAAAATTAAAAGTAGTGGATATTACAATGATCGAAAGTGCGCATTTTTGCAAGACATTTTCTTTACGACTTAAAAAAATTGTTGATTAAAAATACTATTTGCAAAAGTCTTTGAGTATTTTTAATCGACAATTTTTTAATTTATGCAAATGTGCATTTTTAATCATTATAATTACAGCAATTTTATCGCGAAAAGAATTCGTAGTAAAAGATTGCATATTCAAAGATATTGTCATTTATGTATATTACATACATTTTTTGCAGTGCTATGAAAAGTTTCTCAATGGTTGGTCGCATTGTCCATTTGCATTGCCCATTGCAAATGAATCTACTTGTGAAAAGGTTTCGATTTACGGTGCTTTTTATCCGTTTATGTGTGTCCCTTGTCTCTTTTAGTTTCAAAAATTACATATTTTCATATAATTTAGATTAAATTATTATTCCCATTATAATATGCTGTCGTCATTTTCATTAATTGATTATTTCTGTAATATTTCTGCAATTACACGATTTTAAATGCTTTGCTTATTTATCACACTACGTATATGTCTATATTTATCTATAATGTGCACGAAGATGGTGTGTGAAAATGTTACGTATGAGTTTTCGTACTGGTAAAAATTATTTACATACATGGTTTTCATTTTTAAATGAAAAACAGTATATTGTAAATAATTTATACTTTTTAATGATTTATATATCTTTTTTCTCTCTCTTTAAAAGTTCTATCTTATGCCGAAATAAGTTTCAATGGAAAAGAAGATGCAATTACAAAAGACTGCACATCGAATTAGATCTACTTTAAGCGAATGTGCCGGACGATGAACGAAAGAAAGAATAAATACTCTCAAGAAAAAGGCAATCAATTAGACCTGTGACCGCGATACGGTTCGTTCTTCCTTCATCGAGTGTTTACACGATTCTCGAGAGACCCCGGGCAAATTCCGCGAGGATATTCCGTTTGTTTCTCTTATACGATCCACCCTCGTTCGGAAAATACTCGCAGCACAATGAGCTGTTGTTTCACATTTACCGCGCTCTGTTTTTTTTCCCTTTAGCAGGTGTGTTGTCTCAGCCGTTCCTTTTTCCGCCATCGTCACTTTTAGATTGCTCTTGGTAAACGTTCGTTAGAAAAATATTTTTTCAAATAAACGCATCTTCTTCGAAAATACCCATTAATTTGCATTTTCGCTTGATTAATTGGTAAACCTAATTATTTTATCGAAATATATTCGCTTATATTTTTTTCGTACAATATAACTTATTTTCATTTAATTTGCGACATTAATCTTTACTTTTTCTTCATATTGTGCATTCAATGTGATATCTTCAAAACATTGATTTAATGAACGTCTATTGCTTTCACGTTCGATGTTGCTTTTGACCGCATTTCGCAAGAAAAAGCTTATCACACACAGTGTGTTGTCTACCTCACAAAATAACAGTAATCACAGAAAAAAAATTAAAGTTAAGGTAAATCATGAAAGGGAGAAATTATCATTTTAGCTACAGTAAGATTGGCTTACAATTCCTTAAATAACATTTGTCGAATATGTCGCAAAAGTATAAAACAGCTGTCTAATGTACACGAAAAATATAAAATATAAAACGTATTATATTTTATATATGTATGTATACCTATAAATAAAAATAAGTGATTCCTTCATGATTTCTCTCCGAACGTTGTCGTTCGACGTGTATCGCGAGAATCTTCGTCGAAAGAAGAATCGTAAAATCGATCGCGTTGGACTCAATTGAACGTTGTTGCTTCCGGCTCGCTTCTCCAGACGGAAAGGATCAAGGAGCTGTTTGACCTGGCGGTGCAGAGGCAGACCAAAGAGATGAATGACAACATATACGGCCAGGGTATCGACAACCACTTGATGGGGCTGCGTTATGCGGCGAAGGAGGCCGGCGATCCGATGCCGGACATCTTCACGGACGAGGCTTACGCGATCGTTAATCACTTCGCCCTCTCGACGTCGCAGGTCAGTGATCAGGGTCGATCGTTCTTCCGACGTATTTTATTCAAACATATTTGTCATCGGCGTCGAAAATCGCAAAATTCTTCACATTCTGGCCGTCCAATTAACATCACGATATTGAGACGCATATATCATATTTTCAGGGTTGGGTAATAGTTAATTAGTTAAAAGTTAAAGAAAAAGTTAATAACTTTTAACATAGCTTAATTAACTTATAATGTATTAATTTTTAAATTCAACTAGTTATTTTTGACCTTATTAACTTTCAATATAAACTTATTAACTTTTTTCCTAAGTTAAATTTCTTTTATCTCTGAATACCATTATTGTTTTTTTTTATAATAAACGTATTATTTTTAAAATAAAGTATTATTAATTTTTATGTTCATTTGTCATCAATTGTAATTACCAAAAATATATATTTCTGTATAAAAATCAAAATTTCTTTGTTGTTTGTTATTATAAATTTTATAAACATTAATAAACAAAATTCTAATTTAATATAAATGTTTTTAAAAATTAACTTTTAATTTAACTTCAGTTACTTTAATCTTAACTTAACTTTAACTGAGTTAATTTTTTGTTCATGCAACTTTTAATTTAACTAAATTAATTTTATATAAGCAATTAATTTTAACTTAACTTAGTTTTAAAAAATCATTAACTTACCCAACCCTGAATATTTTGCAAATATTATTTTTATATAAATTTATATTATAATATTTTTAAATATAAATTATTTTAATTCTAATTCTAAGTATAAATATAATTTTAATTAAAAATAAAATTAATTAAAAATAAATTCAATATTGTTAATTTCTCTTCAAGATGACAATCGGCAGTGATTTAAAATCTTCAGTGACGTACTTTTCTTGCTTGTTAATTATCCATTTTTACGCCAATGAGCTTTACAAGGATCGTTATTTAAAGTAGTTTGTCACGTCAAAATATAAATTGAGATCCCGGACGCATTATAAGCATCTTTCTACGCAGGTAATTAAAATTCAGACAGCTCGAGGTCGATACGATTAGTTTAAGAAAAGTTATATAACTCTATGTAAGAGCTGCGTGCATAAGATTTCAACTTGACATTCGATGTTCAGTTATCGTGAGATATTTCCTTTGAGGCAATATTTCATAACATTTAAATCTCTCTTTCAAACCATTCATCTTGAAATCCCTCCACTTATTTTCAAAAGAAATATAGGATATCGTTTTTTAACTCCATTAAAGCACGTCTAAATCTTAATTTTACAAAATAAAAATATATTCTTTTGTGACGGCATCAATGGCACACATCCCGGGAAAAAAATTTTTATATATAACAATATACACTCAAAAAAATTTTCTAGGTATAAAAAATTAACTAAAACAGCTAAGTAATTGACAAGTATTGTAATATTGTATATATAATTTACTTAATTTGCCTAAGTAACAGAGACAGAATATATATTCCTGCTATAAATTATATACGTGACACAAACAACAGTTTTAACAGATACAAAAAACATCTAAACGTCTAACTATATCAGCGAAATATTTTTTTGAGTGTAAAATAATATAGAAATATATATATATATATATATATATATTTCATATATAATTTGACATGATTATGAACCCTTCAACCCATAAACCCTTATAATTTATATAATTATATATAAAAATAGACATATTTCACATATAATTTTACGATTATATGTATAATTAAACAATTATTTATATATAATTATATATAAAATTTTGTTTCCGGGATTTTGAATAAAGATAAGGTCGATCTTGCAGGTGACCACGAAGAACGACGTGATCGCCGGATACGGACCAGTGGTGCCGGATGGTTACGGATGCGCTTACAACGTGAGGAAAAACGGCTTCATCTTCTCAGTCTCGGCCTTCCACAGCGACGGCCGGACCAGCGCGATACAATTCGCGCAAACGCTGGAGCAGAGTCTGCGGGACATGGCGGACATGATCAAGAATTCGAAGAAGTGATAGATGCACGACTAGCGTTTATAATTTAGAGCCGCGAAACACACAGCCTCCCGTCCATCTCGGCGGGAATATAGGGGCGAGATAGAAAGAGGAAGGCGAGCTTCTCACGCACGAGGGTGGTTCGAAACGCGAATCGAACCCGCAAATGAAGCCGATTTCGCCAGTTCTTGGTGTCTCTTGACGTTCTACGCTATCGAAAAATTCGAACTTGTACAGCAGAAGCGGCATCTTTTATCTTCTTATTTTCGTAGCGTTTTTCATATCTTCATTGCGTCGTTAAAGCTTCAAAGCTGAGGAGATGTTACTTGACATAGATTTCCTACGGTGAATTTACTTGAATTTAATTCTTCCTCGCGAAGAAAACGCAAAGCACGACTTTCGAAGCACCCTTGCACAGAGGAAAGTACGTACGTGTCTCGTATATAGATTTTAGGAAATTGCGAGCGTAGGCGTAGCGCAGAGAGATTTAGGTAATTCGCTCCCGCATACAATTCGTTTAGATATATCGCTGGTTTGATATAATCTTAGGGAGTACATAGAGAAAAGATATATTATATATATATATAGTGAAGAAGAGAAGAGAGCGTCGCCGAAGCGCTCAAATTCACTTGAAAGCTGTTTGTAATTCTTAAAGTACTCTTCGATTACACTAATACTAGAAGAGACTCTTCTCTTGTCTGTTTTTTAGAGGAGACTACATACAAAATACACAAAAATAACACGTGCGTGAACATATAATTTCGCATTATTAGCGAATTGAAGATCCTTCAGCGGTAGCCATCGTATAGTATGGCAAATCTGTTGTAGATCGATCGGTCGTTTTAACCCTTCTGTCAATTATGGATACCCAGATATGCAACTTTAAATGTCAAAAATATGTCAAAACTTTTTTCCGCCCGAAATAAAATTCGAAAAGTCTTCGTATTCGGAAAGTATAACAAGATAAAATATTCAATGCCCAGCAAGTGCTATAAAAGAAATTGTGCAATGTGCGGAGAACTTTTCGTACCTGGGAACTCATAGATTGTTGCATTGACAGAAGGGTTGAAACTTTAGTCCGCTCGAGGAGAGAGGAGTAAAGTTTCTTCGAGTGTTATATCCGAGCGCTGGAAAAAATAGTCCCAATCCATCGCCACGTTTCATACTTTCAAGAAATATTAACAATAATAAGTCGTTTCCTCGAACATTCGATCGATTTTATCGAACGCAAGAATGTTCCTGCATCTTGAACAAGATTTCTTGATCTTCTGAAGATCTTTTGAAATCACTTGAAGAGTAAAATTATCCGCGCTGATCGTTCCTATAGTATTAACGATTCGCTTTTCTCGTGTAGAGATTCTCGCAAACTCGTGTCATTCGCTTGCTTTCTAGATTGATCGAACGACCAAGGTGTTTTTTTTAGGGATACAATCCAATTATCGCAGACGTGTAGCTTTCCAGCGCACGGGACTCATCTACCGCAGGAACACTCTAAATGTGGCCAATCTCATCGTATGTTGGCGCCCGCACAGTAAACTCTTGTCCAATTCTTAGGTAGGTCGGCGGATCGAGCCGCTCGAGAGATTGTCAAGAGACGGGGTCGATCGTCGACGGTATAGCTCTATCTGTTGTCTCTATCGCGCTATTCTTCTACTTCCTACGAATTTACAATCTAGGTAAACCGACTACCTGTACTTTTGCCAGGGATTGAGACCGATGATATTGCAATTAACTACGTGTACAACAATTGAGATTCAACAATAATTGCGTGTGTAATTAAGAATGATATATAACAGTTATATGTGGAATTAACATCTTGAAATATATATAATAGTTACATATATATATATATATATATAGATATATACATGAGATGAGATAATCTATCTTTAGTCGAGATTTTAGATTTCGCAATGTTATAAATGTATGCGAAGATGATCTCATTGAAAAATGATATGCCGGTCCCAAACCTTGGTATCAATACGTGCTGATCTCACGAATTGAAAGAGATTGATCTCTCTTCAATTCTGCAATTTAGACAAATTTATCGCTTGATGCGATTCCTATGCTGATATTGTTACCCTCGTATTAAACCGTATTGATGACGGTGTTTATAATATATATTATTGTTGATTTAAAAAGGGGTCTTTAATGAAAAGAACCGAACACAAAGAAGCAATTAATTATCGCTAAAAAAATTACTTTATCTTAGAAATAACATCTCTAAGAGATGTTCTACATCGTATTTTTTAATATGATAAATCTTTTTTGCTGTCTCAAATTCGAGTCATTTCTTAATAATTAGCAATCGAACATAAACAATTTCTGGCAAATTAAATTTCAGAAAAAAAATATTATCTTTAGCTAATTTTAAAAAAATTTAACAAAAATCTAATTTGTAGCTTTTTAACGACAAAAATGTATAATGTATTTAAAAAGTAATAAGTTGCAATAAATATAATGATCTCTCGTTATTTTCGTTAGAAGACAATTTATTTTAAATAAAAACTGAAAAATCTGAATCTGCAATTACAAATTAATAAAATAAAATTGCCAGTCAATGATATCAAAATTTGTGACTCTACAAAAATCTATTACATATCTATGATCAGATGAAAGATGCAAATATATAAAATTCTTCTCATACAATCTTTTCATACAACGACTTTTGATAATCCCCTTTTTCTCAACAAAATAATGTATTTGAATTATTATCTATCACCGGATAGAAGTAAATTTACGCATTTTCTTCGCGATTTAGATAATTTAGAGATTTAGACGATCTGTTACGCCCTGTCCTCTCGTATCGGGGTGTTACTGTTATCAATAATATCGAGCGATTGTTCTAGTTGTAATTGCGAGGACGAGATTATCGAAAAGAATCGTCTCGTCATAAGATAAAGTGTTTAGGTATCGCATTTAATTAGCTTCCTAATTCTAGTCAATTAAAATAATTCTAGTTAATTGTTAAAGAAAATGAGGGAAAATCGATACCACGGCTTGAAAAAAAATTTTTTTACGGTCAGATTTGTACGAGAAATTAACTAGATAATATCTTATCATATAATTTGTCATAAATGACAATCTCGTGCAAGTCTGATAGTAAACAATTTCTTATCCTTAATATTCTTGGTATATCGAATCTTCTTCATTTTCTCCGTTCCTATTTGTATATATATTATCAGCGTTAAATGCGATATCTTGTTCATATTTTATTCATATTTTACGATATCGTGTTAAATTCTTTTTTTAAATTTTGTTATATATTAATCCCTTGTTAACTTTAAAAAAAGCGAATCACCCTGCTCTTTCAATTAGAAATTTCAGCATTTTTGTTCGGTCTTATAAAATCAGCCCCTTACAAAATATTCCACGTGTTATTTCGTCTCTTCTGTTATAATTGTCTGATTGATTCATCAGTGTTAAAAAATCACGCCTTGGAATTTTACGAAAGTTAATTGCACGGGAAGAAAGGGGCGGAAAATTTGTCACTTGCGAAATGTATACGAGAGAGCACGGTGCCTCTTCGTTATTGTTAGAAAAACGGTGAAAGGGACAAAAAATATATATATGAGTACATTTGTATAACGCGTGCGCGTTCGAAAGTACATGCATGTTTTCGCGTATATATACAGGATGCAACCACAATATATGCAATATATATCGAAAGCATTTTCGGAGCAAATCGCATCAATATTTAAAAAAATGTTTTTATGTTTAATTATAAAGTTTATTGTATATATTTATATATATATTTCCAGTGCGATTCACTCCCAAAGTGTACTCTATTTCCCTTTTTCTTTCCTTACACAAAAAAATTTGTTATTTTAACTAAACCTTTCAACTAAATCATTATTTTGTTAATTGAACATATATTAGTATTTAAGTCAAATATAAATTTTGTTAAATTTAATATATTATATTTAATTTAAATATTTTTGATGTTCAATTAACAAAATAATATTTAGTTGAAAATTTTAGTTAAGTTAACAATTTTTTTCAGTGTATTTGTTTCAGTTGCATCCTGTATACGTGCAAATGTTCTCTATCTTAGACATAAGAGAAAAAACACAAACACTATATATACTACTATTATTAGTTTAAGGCCAGAAAATACGATTAGAAATACTTATAACTTATACATATCGCGAGAAACATTGTGATCGCACTTTTGCGGCCAAGAATATCATATGCATATCAGGCGAAAGCCAATGTAGCAAACGATTTTATTCCAGGATAAAACATATCCTGATAAATCGGTAGGAATGCTTACGGATGTAATTACGAATGTATAACTTGCGAAAGTTCTCTAAGTATATAGTAGATAGAAGTATATCGGTATGTTAAATTATTCGTTTTCTCGGAGTGATCTCGTATTGCATGAACCACGATAAAACTGTTTTATAATTCTCTCCGCGATATAAATACTGCCATATTCAATTATGGAGTGAAGAAGCAATGACTAATTTAAATGAGTATTTTAAAAATAAAGATTATACGCATTTCAATGTTAAATAAAAAACGAATATGAAAGAAATGTTTCTGAAATAATTGGTGAAAACAATTATTGTAATTGGTGAATAACAAATATCTGAAATTGGGGAAAAATTGTATATAATTAGTATTTAAAAAAGATTTCTCATAATTCCAAAAATCTATAAGCAATCGATGTATCTATAGTTATGAGTGATAATATTATTTCTACGAACACGTTGATTATTAAAAAATATACACTTTAACATATGCGTTAAGACTGTTAATGTTAGTATCACAGAGTGATATAAAGCGTGATAAGAATGAAAGTATAAATATATAATTATAGCATATCTGTGAAAAAGTAGTGTTAATAGTAATAGACGTAGGAGTTATATGGAATTATGAGAATTGAATGAAATAAAATAAGATTATTATATGCTCTTTTAAGAGGACATCAGTTAGAAGTATAAAACTATCGAGGTTCATGCATGCGAGTTGTTGTGTGCAAAGATCGCTTTCATCGTTGTTAAAATATTCATCAAAAATTAGTAAATATATATAACATACTAAACAAAATTTGTTAACTTGACTTGAAATCTTTCAACTATTATTTTATTAATTGAACATATAAAATCATTTAAATTAAATATATAATAACATGTTATTAAATCTAACAAAATGTACATTTGACTTAAATACTAATATATGTTCAATTAATACAAGATAGTAATTTAGTTGAAAGGTTTAGTCAAATTTTCAAAATTTTTTCAATGTATATTTACTAAGCTTTTTCAATTCTTCAGTCAGTGCTTGAATCTTGCAGGGCTACAAAGTATATAGATACTACTCGAAATGAGAATTATAGGGACACATGTGAAACTAATGATAATGTTGTACTTTAGCGTAATAAAAGCCACTATATGTAATGCGATCGCTTAAAATTAGTTTTTAATGATCTTAATTTGTATCATTCTTATTTTCAATTTTTCATGTAATATAAAATATTCTAATTCTTATCATTTGTAAGTTGTAATCTTTCTTGCTTTCAGTTCGGTGCATTATATTAAGTATTGCAAGAATAATGTTCATGTATTATATAATTGTGTTAAATATGTTAAAAATATCATAAAATTGTTATTAATTATTTTGTGTAAATACCTCCGTAAATTATTTTCTCATTATTATATAAAAAAATTGTTTACTATGTTATATTACGTGATATATGAATGTCATCATTATATTTGATATATTTGTGTATATCTGATGTATTGTGACTCCGCTGTTCAAATGCTCCACATATATATAACATGCCTAATTTATATCTCATATATCCTTTTATATACTTTCAATTCATCATATGATAAATGCAGAAGAAAAAATTAAATTCTTGTCGTAACGAATATAGGTAATATAATACATTGCGTAAAATAACAAAATCCGATATATAAATCATAAATACTGGAAAATTAAAACTATATATGATTTCTAGCTATACTTTTGTGTTGTGACGCCATATATTATAAATAATTCATACACAATCCAATAATTTATATAACTCTGATGCAAATGTTTTCACAATTTGACATATATTATAGTTTAATATTTTAAACAATTTCTACATAATTTGCACAGAGTTTGCATAAACTCTTGGATTACGTATGACTGATTTTAATCCTTAAGTGAACAATTTAGATCTCTTTATTTTTTACAAGTAAAAAATTAAATCCTTTAGAATTTACTTGTGTAATTGATCTATTTAGTACATTTTATAAAGTTTTGTTAAATAAATATTAAATATAAATATAATAAAAATTTATTATAGTGTAGTAAACATTTAATTGTATTGTGTAAAAAATTTATTCATATAAGTACAATAAAAATTTGATCTTACCATAAGGGTAGAGATTGTTCAGACATAAAGATTAAAAATTATGGCGTAAAAATGATATACTTTTGTGTGTAAAACGTTCGATAGATAAACGAATAAGCACACTCTCGGCTTTCCGTTTGCGCGCGGAAAGCATACACAGCATACCTCCGCTAAGTAATTGAACCACGTCAAAGTATGTTGTATATCATCTCACGTGTGTACGCGTTTCCTCGTGCAGAAAAATAAACTCCATCGAAATAACACAGTTGTCGTTCATCGTTTTATTCTTTCATTCTCGATCATTTTATTTAAAATAAAATTTCTATTGCACAGCAGTAACAAGTCGTTCACTTCGTCTTTACGAAGCGATATTATAACATAGACATAACACTCGAAGCTGCTATTATGTATATTATGTACCTTAAAGGTAGCTTAACAAATACTTACAATTAATCACATTAGGTCACAGCAGGTCGCAGCTAAATGTCAAAATTTGAATCTTATATATCTCAATGGGACACTGGAGTCTGGAGCTCGATGTGATGTGAGTGTTTTTGAATAAAACATGGCGGATTGATTCGAGATCGACCGATGACGTCAATCACGTCATTAATCGATCTCGATCGATTAAACGCGCTTTATTTAAAAATGCTATAACATTTGCCATAACATTTAATGCTAATTGTGAGGTATACAAAGTATACTATGATTTTTGGAATGTCAAGTGACCTGCATCTTCGTATCAATATATATATATTAAAATATATATATAATATATATAATATATATATGTAAATATATAATATATATAAATATAATATATATAAATATATATAATATATATAATATATATAAAAAATATGCAGCACTATGCTATATCTTATATAAATGCAAATATAAAACAAAAAATATATGTTTTGTTTTTGTCTTTTAGATAGTGAAGAGAAATATACATTTCTCATTTCATATCTTTATATATCAAATATGTAAATACCCATATATATTCCTTGCGCATTCGTTTAAAGTTTAAACATATAACACTATTTCATCGAACTAGATTGTGAATATAGATTCTACGCTAATCAAACTAAACGTTTCGCTAAAATGCTTTTGCAAGCTTTTAGCTTTCTGGCTGAATTACTGAACTTATACTAGCATGGCTAGTTTAAATCACACGTAATACAAATATAAAGATACATAAAGAGTATCTCAAAAATTGCACTTTCTTTTTTTTCATCAAATATTTGTAAACCTTATCGTTCAGTCTCCATCAAAGTTTCTATTAGAGCAAAAAAAATTTCCATTTGTTTCCAATTGTTTGTAAAATTTATTTGTTATTTATATTTTGCTAGCTGTATAGACTAGTAAATCAATTTAATTTGCAAAATTTTTTATACTAAACATATATTATAATAAATTTTTAATTTCATCATTTATTAATTGCAGACAAAAGAAAGTGTCTCTTGTGGAACGAATTTCATATAATTATATAGTAAATTATATGATCACAATAGTACGTATTATCTATGTGTATACTGATCTCATCAATGGCTAAAGTATTCTCAAACACAATTGTCATTTCTTTGTATAGTCTGCTGTAAATACTATAAATAAACTTATAACAAAGTCTCGTCATCAATACTATTAATTATTTTCGCGTTTTTAGTGCGGGTGATTTAAGCTCTAAGCTTTAAGAAATTGACCAATCACAGTCGAGTATTCTTCGAATACTTAACTGTGATTAGTAAATTTCTTAAAACTTAGGGCTTAAATCATCTATAGTGAACCAGCACTAAATCTAAAATGTATTTACAAGTTTTTTTATACAGTTTCTAGATACTATAAATAAACTTATAACAAAGTCTCGTTCAACATATATTAGGTCTATTCTTTTCAGCTGAACTGGCTACACTAGTTCAGAAGTTGTCTTTTTTGCTCGACTTTGAAAGGAAAAAGATAATCTGTGAACTAGTGTAGCCAGTTTAGCTGAAAAGGACACAGTTTCGTCCTAAATCTTATTTACATGATTAATGTAATCTCTCAGAAACATGCAATTAAGGTGTTCAAACAACACAGTATAGCAGATATGTCTCATAAAACAATTCTGCCAATAAAGTACAAATGCTAATTCTTTATTCCCGCCAAAACCATTTTACCCCCTGTAAGGAAATAGATATAAATACTAGATAAACAAGGATAATATTGGTTTACACAAATGATACTTACAGCTTCTTGAATACTTTTAGTATCATGACATCGTTAAGTCAGCACATCTTCATACTCTCCTAGTGTGAAAGAATGTGCGAGGAGTGTATTTGCAGTTGATCTTCTCTTTGGATCATGCTGCAGACATTTTTTTACGAGATCTATACCTTCTGCAGAAAGATTCTTAGGGAGTGCTGGTGTTTCTCCCATTCCAACCTTGCAAAAGTAAAAAATCTCGAGTTAAATGATGCTAATGTGTGCTTAAATAATGCTTAAATATAATTTTTTTAAAATTCCGGATATATATACGCATATTGTACAAACTCTTATAGGAGATAAGAAAGATAATTTGAAGTTAAATTATATAATTTTTAATTTAAAAACTCTAATTTTTTATCTTCTTTAATTCGTTGAAATTATTATGTGTATAATTGCTTAACTATATGGAATAATGCGTTTAATGGCAAGATTACCTTAAACATAATTTGATAATTCGAATCGTAATCCGACCAGGGTCGTCGCCCGCTCGCCATTTCGATGATGCAACAACCTACCGACCATATATCAACAGCTCTGCCGTGTCCACTGCTTTCTGATTTCATAAAAACTTCCGGTGCCATATAAGCTTTAAGCAATAAAATAAATAATTGAAATATATATAATACAATATAAACTTCGGCTCGTATAAAATTAAAATATGTAATAAATTAAAAGGCCAACTTAACGAGCTAATAAGATGTTAATTAAATTTTTTTATTATGTGTCATAAAATAATATTACAAATGATAAACGTTTCGGCTGTACGACAGTCTTTTTCAATATCATTATCGCTATGTTAATAAGTCAAAGAATTAAATCGTTTGGTAAGACCGAACATATTATAAATATAAAATCTATCGGCTTATAATGTGAAAAACGCAGTAACAAATTTCATGCTTGTTGACTTGAGATAAATCGCCTACTCTCGAACATCAGATTTCTGTAGTTCATGATGTTATAGTATGTAATATGGTCTGTGTCGAGACGATAAAATATTTCTTTTTAAATAACATTGTCACAATGTGTACTTTTTGCGAAGCTAATCAATATCTGTCCGAAACGTTTATCATTTGTAATATTATTTTATGACACATAATAAAAAAATTTAATTAACATCTTATTAGCTCGTTAAGTTGGCCTTTTAAATAATTGAAAATTAAATGTGGAAATTATATAATAAGAATAATTTATTACACTCATAGATTTTTGATCCTTTACTAAATTTTTAATAATAATAGTAATATAATATAATATATACTTTGCTGATTAAAGATTTTATTGCATAATAATCGAACTACTAACCTTGAGTGCCCACAAAACCTTGAAGTTCTCCAGGCATCGTCGTATGCGCTTTAATCTGCACTGCGCTGCCAAAGTCACCGAGTTTCAGATAATTGCCTTCATTCGTTAAAAAGATATTCGCAGCTGCAAAAAGAAAGTACAATTGTAAAATATAGAAATATAGATAATATTACTTTACGAGACACTATCTAATTCAAATAATATACTTTTGATATCTCGATGAACTATTCCGTGAAAATGCAGCGCTTCTACAGCCGAAAGGAGTTGATAAGTATATTTTCTGACCAAAGATTCTGGCAATCCGTTGCCGCTACCAGCCACCAAGCTCTCGAGAGTTCCTTCCGCACAGAATTCCATAAAAATCAACATCTCCTCCTAGAAGCAAAATTTATATGTTAATAATATATATTGTTTGTGCCTACGATATATCGTGCCGACGATTATGTTACGTTTATCGTACATGATGAATTTCCAGTCCATAATATCGCACTAAATGTTTATGTTGGATTCCTTCGAATATTTGTAACTCCTCAGCAACACGCCTAATCGCTCTGTGGTCGCCAGGTTGCAGTTGCACTTCTTTCATAGCTAACAGTTCACCTGTTTGATTGTTCACTACAGTGTAGACTTTGCCGAATCTTCCTTGGCCTGCATAATAAAATTTGTTCATTAGTCTTATGTGATTTAATTGTGTATTATAATTATGTGAATGGTAAGGTAAAAAGTAAATGATTATAAATTATTTAGTAATAATAAATAATTAATAGAAAAAACTTACCTATTTTAATACCTCTCTGCCATGTAAATGTAACTCGTCGCACCTTGATGTGCACTCTATCGACTCCTTTTCTGTCGGTGACTTGTCCAATGAGCTCTCGACCTTTCAGTTTTTGGTCGAGCTCACTCTCCATCTTTTTGATAGCACGAATAACTCTTTCATGCCTCTGCGTGCCCCGTTCAGATGTATTTATTATCACGTTTCCGTCAACCATGTTTGATGGGCTATACTTCTTCGCATGAACCAATAATTCGGGTGATTTCATAACTTCCCGTGGTTTCTGAGAAAGGCTGAAGCTCGCGGTTCTAGTGCGACCATGACTCGGCGATGAAGCTCTTGATCGCGACAGTTTTTTTAAATCTGAAAATTAAGTGTTATTTCATTATGAATCATAATATTCTTATTCCATTTTTATAGTCTAATATTCATGTGAAACTCTCAGAAACTTATATAAAATTGAATTCTGTAATTTCCAATTGAATTTCATAATTGTAAAAATAGATGGCTGGGACAATTCTACCATAAAAAAAAATTATAATTTATAACAAGAAAATCATAGATTACTTTCTGTCTCCGGTGTCGATCCTACAACCGATACTGTTCCCACCACGTGAGATATGCAATGATCCATGCATGTCTTTAACTCCTCAAATTCTTGATCGGTGATATGTTTTGTATTGTGCGGCTCGCACACTGTTATCAAGAACTCTAGACCTTGGTTCGCCCATCTAGGTCTCAAGCCGCGGCCACGCTCGCATCGCGTCCTCACGAACTCCATCCACAACAATGCGAATGACATTAAACCCCGTGCTAGAATGGCTTTTTCTTCCAGCGAGAACAGTTTACACATTTCCTTGTGAAACTCGAAGCCCATCTTGTAAGCTTGATGAAGAATTTCACGAATCCTCGAGCGTAAAGGTGTTTGATCGTTCTCGATGTTCGATTGCTCCACTTCGTGAACGTCGCTTTGAAAATCTTCAATCACTACCGTTATACGATGCCTCAAATCTAGAACTGTATCCTATAAATAAGAACAGGAAAGAAAATTTAGCTTTTCCTTTAGCTTCTAATAAAGTTAGACAGCATGATGATACTTTATGTACAAAGTTTCTTTACCTTCAACAGTTTGAACGATTCATCTAACTTTTGATCGCAGACTGGCCAAGTCTCGATATCACGTTTTAAGCATTTGGCAAGATTGATGCTCTTCACGATTTTTTCCCGAGCCTCTACAAACATACACTGCCACTCACGGCCCACAAACAGATGGAATCTGAATTGTGTTTCGCTGTAGAGCAAAAAACAGTTATAAAGTATCTAAAATTAGTGAAACACAGGTAAAGAAACAAATTAAAATTTTCTCTTACTTGCACGACACTTCGACGTCTTCCTTTTCTTCCACGTTTTCGCAGATCTCGCGAGTCCGTTCAGTGAGAAATTCATTGACTTGCTTGATCATTGTACGCGCAATTTCACTATAAAAGAATAATATCACAAATATGACAAATTGAATCACTAAATAATAATTTAATTTGCATTGTCTATTATTTTATTGTATAGTTTTATTAATTCTATTTATTCATTAAAACGTTTAATATTCACTAGCCATCTCTTTTATTCAAATCGTGTATATGTGTAGATTATATTTAATAATTTCGAGATTTTACTCACTAGAATTTCACACCAGCAATCTTGTATCCATCACTTATGTTTCCAGCAATGGATTTGACAAACAACCATTCGTCCATAAGTAGATTCTTGTGAAAACTGTCGTGCTGCACCATGTCCACCCATTGCTGAAGGTAATCTAGGTAGACCTCAAACACGGCTCTCAGGCTTTCATCAAAATATTTGACGTCTTTCTCAAACAGACTCTCGCAGCCGGTTTCGTCGCTGGCGACGGCAGCACGAGAGTGCGCGGCGAACCGGTCGCGATGAATACAAGCGATCTTGAGACCCTCCCGAAGCTCCCGCATGAGCTGTCGAACCGACAACGGACTCGGCTGCTCAGGTTTTTGTTCTAGTCTCATTCGTAAAAATTCGTGAACCACGTCCAAAGGCACGCGCGAGAGAAACACGAAAGCAGCCCTGAAATATAACAATTTAAACATTATTCAAACTTAAATTCAGATTTAAAAAATTGCTTCATAGACTTCAAGTCTGGTTAAAATTATGTTTAAAAACTCCTCTAAGAAAGTATCCCTCATTTAATAGTACTATAACATTATTAATTTTTTCTGCATTTCAAATGCAATATTACCACAATTCTACTTTTTAATTTAAAATTTAAAAATAGAGTAGATGTGGAATATATTAAGGATCGCCAGAGTGTTATAAAGAAAAATAATCAACTCCTCTCTCGATCAAACTGGCAATGATATTTATTTAGAAATCACAACGTTTCGACCATTATATTTGGTTCTTATCAAGTGATCTGTACAGTCAAATATTTGGAAACAATATAATTTGAATAATGAGAAGTTGAAACAAAACAAAAAGTTTTTTAAGATTAATAAGTTTGCAAATAAATTAATACACTTACATGATTCGTTATAATTATAAAAGCGAACTTATCTCGAATTAATACACGTCATACCAGACAGACAAGTTTTTAACTATTAAACGACCTTTATTATTTTGTCGTAGAAAAATAGCAACACAATAAATTTATATAAGGACACTGAGAATCTCAATAATATCTACTTCAAATTATATATTGTTTCCAAATATTTGACTGTACAGATCACTTGATAAGGACCAAATATAATGGTCAAAACGTTGTGATTTCTAAAAATATCATTACCAATTTGGTCGAGAGAAAAGGAATTGATTATTTTTAAATTTAAAAAGATTTGAAAAAATTTTGAATTTTCTTAAGATTTAAGTTGAATTGAATTTTTTAAGAAATAAAAAATTTCAAATACCTATACGATGGCAAATTTAATTCATTTGCTTCGGGACTCCAAATACCATATCGCCGTAACTCTCTGTCACCTTCATATTCTTCGTTCGCGCTACTATCATTCTCGCAGTCATTTTTCTCCAAAGTTAATCTCGCTTTTCTCAAGATAGAGGTATGCAGTCGATCCAAAAACTTCAGACTTTTCCTGAGGCCTCTTGTTTTCAGTACATCCTCAATGTATTTTCTAAATGTGCAAACAAAAATTATCATTACATAATTTAAAATTGTATCTAATTGCTTTTAAAAAAATATAAAAAAAATAAAATCAAGAAAATTTATAAATATGTCAGAAAATTATTCAATAATACAAATTAAAAGAATATATATAATAGATATTAATATAAAAAATTAAATATATACTAGATATTGATATAAAGAATTAAATATACATTTATATAGCACACAAAATATACCTATAAGCGTGTCGATCAAATTCGACCAAGTAGAAATCGAGTCGATCGATTCTTTCATCATCCATATATGAGAACGAAATTTCCGGAGTAGGCGGCAGTGATTGCGATACAAAGGATAAACCTCCTACTGAAGAATTATTACTATTATTGCTGTCAGAGGGACTGGAAGTTTCGTCCTGTTGAGGTAGATCAAATCGCACCATAAATTGTCGCTGCTCCGTAGAATCGACGGTATCTGAAGATCGCGAACTAAGGAGATAAAAACAATTAATTATTTAATTCCAAAGTTTCTATATACATTTAAAAAAATTCAAAAATATCCTCTTTATATATTTCGGACAATAATAAAATTCGTTCACAATGTATCTGGAAATTCGGAAAATACAATATAATTTAAAGTTATTGAGAGAATATGACTAAAATAACATACCTGATGCCAGAGTCATTGAAATCTTCTTGTTTCTTCTTATGCATCATCATAAGCAATCTGCCCAATATTTGTAACTTGAACCGATGGTGTTTCGTCATGTTGTACCAGAGGCACATAGCTTTCACCCTATCGGTAAATTTTGCGCTTTTATATAACGGATAATTAGCGGCAAACGCCTGGCGGGATGGATACAAGGCTTCTGCTGCTTCCAGACGAGCTAATAAACCTTCTACTTGTTGTAACGCTTCCCCTTGTTCACGAGCACATGCACGGCAATACATAGAAAGGCAACCCGGGCATACACCCAATTCGATGTTCGGACTAGAACCCGAATTTGTGGATCGATCGCTCGTAATGTCACAGGGGTTGATGCAACTCGAGCCTCCCTCTTGCATATCCACCATAGGATTGTATCTAATAAAATAATAATTATAAATTTACTATATGTATTTATATAATGCTATTTATTTCTTACATTCAATTTATTATTTATATTCAAATATTAAATTATTAATATATATATATATATATATATATATATATATATATATATATATTATAATATAATATATATATAATATATATTCAGTTATTAAATATATTGCTCATTTTTTAAATGAATTTTTAATCTCACGAAGAAAATATTTTCCATTTTACATTTATGAAATAGTAATTTTTGAAGTAATAGAGTTTTCTTAAAAACTTTTTAGATATGTTCTTGCTCACCTGTAGTTCATTATTTCCAAAAGAAGAATTTCTACCGCCTCACGTTGACGACATAAATATTCATCCTGCGCCATCGGGCTACGATCTGCATGGTGCGCCTGTAGTTCCAGCCATATCAGGTCCTTCAGTTCGTTTTGCCATCTGGTTTCTTCGTGACTCATTTGACGGCGACAATTTCGCTCCGTACTCCCTCCCTGTAAAAAATCTACTATGTACACTATTTTTAAAAACGCTAGTAGATACATAATTTTCTTGACAATAAAAATAAATGAAATATATCTTAAAACTATTATAAAGTTTTAATTTATGATTCGAGTTTTTATTTTATATTATACAAAACAAATTTGAATTATTTTGAGTTTATTAATTAAATTTTAAATTACACATAAATTTTATGTATACATACACAGTAAGTTTAAGAGACTTACCAATGTAATTAAAAAAGAAAAAGTGTTGTGAAACTTTTCTCTTTCCTTCAAGCTTTGCGTCCTCGGCGATTGCGCGCGTAAATTCTCTTCGTTTATCAACACGCTTCTTTCAGCGATTTCCCGCTCTAGCTTTTTCTCCTCTACATCAACTGGTTTGGACCGCAAACAACGAAATCTATTTCTAGTCTCGACCTGTGAGAAACAGTGCATTTGTTTGACAGCATGCCAAATGTGGATAGTAAAAGCAATAAGCTTGTGAAAAAAAGAGAATGTAGAGACCGTCCAGAAAATTTAACACGAGTGATCGGCTTTCGATTGATAGATTAGAAATATTTTTTTATTTTATCGAACCTTGATTTGATTTGGAGTTGACACCGTCGCCATGTCGCTACTATGTTTCTCAGCATAATTAAAGGCAGCTTCTACATCGAGCTTCAAGTCTCTTTCATTACCGCGCAATAGTTTTAAACTCCTTTTACTTTTTCTGCTACCTTCCTTCGCGTCCTCTTTCGCCTCATTCTCGTAATCTTTGTCCGCTTTATCACACATTTCATTGAAGATAATAGTGTCGAGAGTGTTGCGTCTGCGAATAGTTGTTTTTGGCCGAGTCTCTTTTTCTATCTTAATATCACTAGAAATGATAAAAGTTAAAGATAGTTTATAGTCATCTAAGTAACAATTAAATTAACAACAAGTCAATCGATATGGCAAAAACTGCTTTCAATAAACAGTGTTTGTTTTTACATAATTTCTCTTATTTGTTAAAAATAAATCTTTTTTGTTTCTTATAATTTTTCTCAAAAATATTCTCTATTTTCTATATTAAAATTCTTAATTATTATATTATTACTATACTATAATTTCTATAGAAAAATATAGTAACAATATATAATAAAAATAAAAAATATATTGTTTATATTTTACAATTACAATTATAATTAATGCCGTTAAAAAGTTATGTTTGCTAAATGAAATATTTGCATATGATCTTGTAGTCTCAGTAAAATTTCTGGCACGGATCTAAAATTTGCACTTTTTGTCACGTACCTGCCTGAGAACTTTTGCTTCATATACCTTTTCTTACGACTGAGACGCGTCCTGGGTGGAGTTTGTCCATAAATATCAGACATCGCGTGCAGCGACTCCTCGAACTCGTTTGACGAATCAGCCTTACTGCAAACACAATGTTTAATCGAATATATTGTTTCCGCCGGAAAGTTATTGTTGATTATTGTCGGGGAAATTTTCCGAGACAGGATGTTACTTTTAAAAATAAGAGGCGTTATCTCCTAAAGACCTACATTTCTATTATTTCTCATTTCATTTAAAATTACATGATTTTTTTAAATATAATTAAATATATTTAAATATTAATAATTTATGAATAATACATTAATAATATTTTTATATATTATTCATATATTAATATATTATTCATATATATAATAATAATTAAATACTTTAACAAATTATTACATGAAAAGCTTATCTTACCTTTTCGATTAAAACTGTATAAACTAAATATTTATATAAATGTAAAACTTTGATGACAATTTATTAAAATGCTTTTGTAACATAAAAAAGAATCTTTAAATTTAACTGAAATTTAACCATCAGTATAATTAAAAAGCTTTTGCATTTTAAGCTTTTCGCAAAGTTAATATTCGATTAATACAATATTAGTCTTTATATTCTCTCTCTTTTTCTCTTATATATTACTAATAATAGTAATATAAAAAATAGTAATAGTATTAAGTAATAGATAATAATACAAGAAATAATAAATATAAATAATACTTATTGTTAGATAACAAATTGTCATTGATGTATCAAATCGAAACATTTATATAAATAGATTGCTCATTAGTTTAAAAAGGTAAGATAATTTCCTTAATAACTATTACAGTAATATCTATCATCTAAAAAAATAAATTAAGAGTTTATACATCAAAATTTCATTAAAGCTTCTGCTTAAAACAAATTTGTATAAACATTTCCTAATTCTTCGCTCATATTCCAAACATTATTGATATACATATCGTACAAGAAAAATATCTACGAGATAGAAATCTAATTCTTTTTTTAAATTTTCTATCTTAACAATTATATAATTATGTGTATGATGTAATTATAACAATGTATGAACGTATTGCACAATCAATGATAATTCATAATCTCGACAATTGAAAAACAGTAAAGGAATTACAAATTCATTCACTGACGGAGATGTGTTTTGCACGATACAAATTTGCCAAATTTGCGGTCAAGGATTTCCTCGAGTGCCTCGACCTCGTTCACTCAGATATGCGGAAAAGTCGCGCAGCGAGACAACCTGCCTGTGGCAACGTGGACAGACGTCTACGAGAACACATTCGAAGCACGGGACGAACGTTTTCGAATCACTTGTCACGAGTTACTGCACGTCAAAGCATCAGCTGAACCGCCGAAAATAATTCGGCGAATCCGCTGGGCTATGTAAACAAAACGCTGTGTGTCGCCGACAGGGATGCGACGCGGGCGCCGGTTTCTATTATCGAGAGTCCGCCGCGCATCGAACTATGAAGCCACGTGTCATCCGGATACCCACCTGGTGTGACCGACGTCCTCCTCGTCGGTGGACTCGGCGCCGGGGATTCTCGTTCCATAATTCGACTCGACAAGACGCGACATCCTGCACACTCGCATGAAAAAATGCGCACGACGTTTTCGTAGTTTCTCCATATCATCGCCGGAGCGCATGCGCCACGCGCCAGTGACGTATGCAACAGCTGATTATGGCGGGAATTTTCAAACGTGTCAGAGAGCGAAGCTTACTTAGGTCGTCTTAAAGTATCTAAAAAAAAACTACATAATTCGATTAATGTGATGTTTTATAATATAAATATAAATTTTTATTTAATTCAAAATAGAATACTAACGTTATTCGTTTTGTTATTGAATAATATTCACTTGTAAATTGATTGTCAATCTTTTTACGATGACGTTTTAGTTTTCGATTACTTTTCTCCGGAACATTTTTAAAAATATTTTACTTTGTTCTCTCTCTTTACTTTTATATTTGTATATTACACAAAAATACAAAATCTTATTAAAATTTTAATGCTTATAAAATATCAATTGTGAATTCTTATACTGCATTATTTGAAGACATTTGAACACAAATACCTACAAAAATTCATATTGAAATTAATAAATGAATCTGCATCTATGATAAACAATATTTTAGTGATTTTTTTTTCAAACCAACTATTTTTCATAACAAAATGAATCTGTTACTATTTGTTTCTTTCTTGTTTTCAATTTCTTATTCTTCAGTTCTAGTCATTGAATCGAGAAACTATAAATAGAGAAATTTTGATTCTATTATATAATATATAATTTTTATATCGTCACTCACTTTTAATTTTCTGTTATATACATAGATTAATAATCTAACGATTGACAGGATTGACAGCTTTCAGCCAACTCGGATATGAATCTTTTATTTAAACAATCTCTAGTTTTTTCTCAGGAAAGTACAAGTAGTTTTTACATTATATCTCTTTTCTCACACCAACAAATAATATTGTAGTAAAATATATGTGTACCTCATGTGTTTTATATATTTGATTAGCTCGATAATAATACTGCTTAAAAGCTCTTACTCTCACAAATGCAGAAAAATGAAAAAAAATTAAATTATGTATATCGTTACATCTTCGAGTTTTGTTTAGTAGCTTGAATAGTGGAAGACAAGAATACAAATGCATATTTCGATGTTACAAGTTTATAAGGAAAAATAACACTACATGGTACTTTCATGAGAGACATAATACTAACGTAGCTTCGCTACGTTAAGATCTACCTTCGTGAGTGCAAACGGAAGATTAGGAGTGTTATTTAACTCTAGAATGCACATTTTGAAGATGAAAATAATTTTACATAAACATGACACAAAACACAATTTTCCTACTGTGGAAAGCAAAACTTTGGAAAGCGAATCAAGCTGAGAATTTTGTTTTATATCTGTTTGTAAAAATTAAATAATTTGAATCACAATTTTGTTTCGCACATTAATTCTTATTTTCAATCATCACTTATATTCTAAAATTTCTTGCAAAAATTTCACCAATCACCCAAGACTATAAACCAACGAAATATAATATTATAAATATAATATTCGTATCATGTTTTCCACAAACAATACAAATTCAAGTATTTATATCAATTCGAAGGAAAATATTATACAGTGCATTCTAAAATTAAATATCAAGAGATAAGTGGAAATATCAAATTCTTTTTTCGCGAAGAGACTAAAGAAGGTCAAAGCGCAATTTCTAAATCGGTAGTTTGAACGGAATATTTATAATTCGTTATTCACAAAAATTCAAAGTATAATAAATCGTGGAGATAAAGTACCTTACAGAAAATTCTTCTGGAATGTCTCAATAAAAATTCATCGGTTTCGCCAAAGCGTTTAATCGCCAAAGCGTTTAATCGCCAAAGAGTATCGAAACGAGCTTTCAAGTTTGCTCTCGCCCATTTCATCAACTGTTATAATAGAATGTTACCGTGCAATCTTTTTAACTAGTATGTAATATTGTTTCCATTTTGTTCGCACATATGCATTTAGTCACAAGTTTATACATTTTTTTTAAATAGAAGGCTAAAATAAACTTGAGAATAAGAAAAGTCAATTATTCTCTTTTAGATATACATATACACTCGTAGAAAAATTTGGTTGCACAAATATATATGTATATATATATATATATGCAGAGAAAAATTTTTTTAAATTTTAATTTAAAAAATATAACTTGAATAAAAATATTAGAATCTTTTTTCCACGTGCTTCTTCTTTAACGTACCTAAATTGCGACTAAATGTATATGCTAGATTATCTTACAAAATATAAATTGACGACATAAAATGCTTTGCTTTAGTTCTCATTCAATATTATCTGCATAATAATAATAATAATAAAATAATAACGCTACTAAATTGTAAACATTAATATTAATAATATAACACTACTAATTTGTAAATTTTTAATATTAAATATAATCAAAAAATATCTATGGTTATTACTCCTGTACTTTTTTCCTCCTTTTCGTTTCGCATATTATTGTAACACGTGGTTGGTGATAATAATATAGTAAAATACAAACTTTAATGCAACGAGCGTGTTTACATTTTAATAATTTCGCAAATCTGCCTTTCAAAATGTAGCTTACATATCTTTCATCCGTATTATACTATTATCGCTTTTTTTGTTTTGATTCCATCATATGAAAAATTGGCAGCATTTCTCGAGGTTACACGTTACTTCAAGTTTTAATTTTAAATTGCGTTATATAGAATTTTCTTAAAAGGTTTTTAAAAATTCCAATGGCATTAGACTTACCCAGACTGCCATAATAAACGTGTGTTTTCGCTCTATCACTCGACCTCTCTCACACGGTTAATTATTTCCCTCATCGCATTCTCTCCCTCTCTCGCACTCGTTCCCTCATTCTTTCGGAAATCTTGGTAGCTAATCCATTCACGGGTACCGCGCAGTTCAATCTTGTGTTGAAAATATGCAAGAAGATGAATCTTCTATGGCGCGATATCCTTTTTTTCTCTAGTGTGTTCATTATTTTAGTATGTACTACCTATAAGTATTTCGATATATATATATATATATATATATATACATATATATATATATATATATATATATATTTATATCAAGTAAAGGCCACGAGTGTATTCAATATAAAATCGCTAATATGTTATCGAAACTCGCTCGTACGAAAATAACTCGGTACGGTTTTATCGGTAGTGAATAGGCCACGCCATCGTTGAATCGCTTACATTTAACCTGGGGTGACGGATTGCGCTGCGATAATGATTCGTGTGTGACGAACAAGGGAACAATCGCAATACTTTTTCACGAGCACAATGAACAACACGTTTGTCTTGAAAGAGAATTGTCGTGATAAAATGTTGAACGTGAATTTAATACATGCATTCCCAATTATTTCTACGATTGTCAAAATTTATCCATAAATACGTATATATATTTCAATATATACAAAGATAATCTAATTATTTATTCAATAAATAATTTCATATTTGAGGAACACTTTTTGAGATTTATTGTTAATCCGAAATATCAGAGCAGAATTGGATGTGCCACGAAGTTCCCTTGCTTGAAACGGTCGCTGCCCAATACGAACTTGAAGAGAATTACGCCTAAATTTCTATCTACCTCGCTACAATATAAACCGTGCCCCTAAATCTTGATTTCTCTATGGCCGGTGTCCGGAAGTGGCTTAAAAATCCGCCGATTAACTATATCGATGTATAGCATCAAGCAACTCCCCGAACAAACTCCTGTCTACGAATATGGCTCGCGAATTAAGCGTACAAAATAGAAGAAAGTTGTCCGTTAACGGGTAACGACCCCGAGTGTCATCGCGACGCATCAGCGGAGATGTAAATAGATGTGACAGTGATGCTGATGACGTGCAAATGCTTCTTGAAAGCGAATTCTTATTAACGGAGGACGGACGATACGCGACGACACGATAGGACCGCGATGGGCAAGGCAGAGTTTAGGTAACCAACTGTTCAAGATCGCGAATAAATGACCGGCAGTAAAGCTTATCGTGAAGCGAGACCAGTATTACATTAGCACCTCACAATACATGAAGACGTCAGAATCCGTCGATGCGCGGAGAAAGGATTAAGTAATAAGATTAAGTAAAGATAACGGATTACATAAATTTTCTTGTCATTTCAGCGAAGAGAAATATGTCTACTTTTAAGATAATAAAACTGCTTGGTAAATTATTTGGTACATAGAAAATAATAATACTGGGAACAATTTTCAATTAGTTAGAATATTTAAAAGAAAAGGAAAATTTTTTTACCATTTTTTTCACAAACAAGACACATTCGCGTAAAATGACGAGAAAATTTACCCGCGCTACGGAAGCACGTAATAATTCTCGATGATAGAATAGAAATCGTGCAGCATTAATTTATGTGGAAGCATATATGGAAGACGGCGCGAGTCACTCGCTCTCGTCGCGTTCTCCTCGCCAAAAAACGTGAGAGCTTTGATTATCGGTTTGCAGGAGGGTGTAGAATCTCGTTATCGAACTAACGTGTCAGATACGAAATATCATAGTAATTCTCGATAATCACGGCGTCATCCGTGCGCGAACATTGAGAAAGGTTAAATTGATCGAGTAAATGTATGTTATTCAAATGATTCTATTTATACATCGATTGTAGAATCTATACCCTTCTCTATTTTTCTTTCCCTATCTCTTTCTCTCTCTTTTTCTTATCGTTATCTCATTATCATTTTTTACTGCATTCTCTGTTTCCGCGATGTCAAGTGAGAAATTGAAAACAGGAAAGGATAAGGTAAGCGATTAGAGATGCACGTAGATTAATTTACATGTTCTCGAACTGATCAACGCGGCGCTTGGTGTTGCCCTTGCGAATCTCGCGAAGTGTCTTATATTTATCGCGACCCTGGCGCACGTTTTCCCTGTGAATCTTATCCATCACCGTCTCCTTGGATTCGTCGCGCGATTGAGCGAGATCTTGTTTCAATGCCTGCAAACGAACGATATATGCTATAGTTGCAATAATACCTCATATGTATAAAGTTCTATGTAATTTGCATCAAATGTCAGAAATGTAATATAATAAAATATATAATATTTATAATTAATATTATTAAGCTTTAAGGAATAAACATTGCAAAATTGATTATTAAAATTAAAAAGAAACGAATAAAATGTATTAAAATTAGATATCAATGTACCTTCAATTGATCGTGGAGACGTTCGTTTCTCTCCGCCAAAGTGCGTCGCTCCTCGACAGGATCGATTATAGACTCGTCAGTCGCGAGATCCTTGGTGACATTTCCTTGAGGCACCTCGTCCTCGCCCTCTTCCTCACCTTCTTCATTTTCCTCGACATGATGATGATGCGGGGTCTGATTGGCCTGATATTGCCGGTCAGCTTCCTCTTGTCTCAATCTTGCATAATAAGACGCAACATGCAATTATTTATGATTATGTTAACTAAAAAAAACAAAGAACGAAAAAATTGCTCATACTTGGCAGCTTCAAATTCTGCTTGTAATCTCCTAGCTTCCGCGTCCTTAGCCTCCACTTCGGATTGTATGCGTTGCACCTCTTCCTGTTTAGTCCTTATTTCCTGTTCGAGTTTAGCGCGTTCCGCAGCCTCCATTTCGTGCGAGAGTTCCAGTTTTTCCATCATCGCCGTTAATTCCTATACAATAGTATAAAGATTGTAAAAAAAATCATGCGTGGACGCATGTAAGTAATCAAAATATTAATTACGTAAAAGGAAAGATTAAAAAAGGATAACAAAGTGTTAGCAACTTTAAGTTATGTAATTAAATACACTCGCTCACCTTCTGGCGATTTTCTAGCTCTTCCTTGGCAGCCTGTAACTGTTTCAATTGCTCCTCCAAGCGTCGAATCATTTCCTGAGCTTCATTCAACTCGGCCTGCCGCCTGTCCATTTCCTCCGCCATGTTTCTTAGCCTCTCTTCGTATTCCTGCTGTTTCTTCTCCGCACGTTCTCGGGCTGCTATTTCCAATTGTAGTTTCTCTCTCTGTTGCTGTTTTGCAATCTTTTCGTCTCTGGCTTGAGCCTAATAAAGGAATTTAATCATTATCTCATAATTTCATACTTAAGATATCAATGGTTTATTATTATTCGTTATAATTAATTAAAATAGATTTCACAACAGTCACATTTGGTGTATCTTCTGCACCCCTAAATTATATTATTTTAATTTTTCGATCAATTCAAAATGCTGTATAATGCTTACGTAAAGCAGTGCTCAATAAATTAATCATTAATGATAACGTTATATAATCAGCTTCTGTAGATAAGTAAATATGCATAATATACTAATTAATTTATATCGATTTCATAGCTCATAGTACAATATAATACTATTCATAATATTCCATACCTTCATTTGCTGCACGTCGATCGTATCCGGTTTACGTCTGCGCATGTAGAGCTCGTGATTGCCCATACATAGTGCAAGAATTCTCTTGTTAATCTTCACTCTGCTGGCGAAAAAGACAAAGTCCGGTGCCTTCTTGTCGATTGGCTTGATTATAAATTTCTTATCGTTGAACGAGATATTCCGTATCTCGGACCAGGGGAAACCGATTTTCGGCGTAAGCTTATCGTCCTTCTCGTAGATGTTCAAACCTAAAGCATCCACACCCAACCAAAGGTCTGTGCCCTTCTTGTTGCGAATTTCAAAGTAATTCACACCATACATCTCTAAGTCCTACGGAAAGCAAAAAATAAAAAAAGATACTAAAACAATACTAGAGATACCAAAAATAAAGCAGCATTTTTCAACTTTTCATATAGTAAAATAATTAGAATTACAAAAATAGCGCATATGTAATGTTTTTGAAAAACTAGTTAAAAATACTGCTTCGTAAGTAAACAAACATCGAATTAAAATTTTAGATTATGTGAACAATTATAAAGTATAATTAAAACACAAGTGTGTAATTATTGTATAGATGTAACCAGTCTTCAGGAATGAATCGCACTGACAAACTGACAAAATCAGAAAAACTTACAAAAAAACAAAAATTATAAAATGAAAATCTCAAAGACGACTTACACAATATGTACAAAAATAATTTTGCAATGATAAATATCCATAACACGCGCCATCTATCCTATTCAATTTCTCCTGAACCCTTTGCCTTTGTGGATTTCGCATTTACATCCTGTACACGCTACTTAAACAGATACCTGAGCAATTTTCAGATACTCCATCATGGCATCTTCTCGCAACATGCCACGGTGTTCCTGCCACCAGTTTGTAATCGAACTATCCCATTCGTCTTTGCTCATCTTATGCTGATCAACGACGCGTTGTGGCAACAATCGATCGTTCGCCAGGAAGCCAGTGGGATGATTGCCCTTCTGATAATCTCCATGTCTCGCCTGAACGGCATATGAGGCCAGCAGGACGGATGTTTCTGGTGGGCAGTATATTTCGTCCGTGAGGATAGCATTTTTCACCTGCAATCAATCGAAATTGTTGATTGTAAGATACCACTAAGATTAAGAATGTATATATAATTCATTTCTTTGTATAACAATATTAGCCAACGTATGCGCTGTGATAAAATTCGATAATAAAATTATAATTTTTTGTGAAAAGTAATTAATAAAATATATAAAAATTAATGCGCGTAAATATTTTTATTTTCTATGCGTACGAGATAAAAATATTAGCTAAATTGCAAACTTTGAAATTTTGACGGTAAATATGGCGGCGAAACATCGCACTACTTTTAACATTGACCATATCTGCTTGCCTCATTAGAGCAAAAAATTGAAGCGTATTTCTTGTATTCGCATATCCATTGCGAATGATGAAATGATGGGAAAAAATGAATCAGATAAATGAATGACCATCCGGTGAGCATATGGTATACTTGGACCGAATAAATGAATTACATTGTTTTTACATTATTCCTCTCGAATACAATTATATAAATACATAATCCAGTCTCACTGATTTTGCTGTGCATAACACGACCATGGACCTTGATAAGACTCGGAAATTACCTCGAGAAGCAGGGAAAAAAATTAAAAATTGTTACGCAAACTACAAACAGAGATAAATATACTTGATTAATAATTTTTACCTGAAGGTAAAAAGTCGAAGCGTAATATCTTGTATCAGTTCCTCGGCGACGTCCTCGGGATAGAATTTTGCACGGAATTTGAACTGCAATGGAGTCTCTTTCTTCACTTCCTGATTCATCACCTGTAAACGTATGAAAAATAAATAACTGAGCTAAAATTATCCATCGTTGCTCGAGCAAAGATCACACTTGTCATTCAAACATATATATATATATATATATATATATATATATATATATATATATAGGCATGCAGTGTTTATGAATCGCGTTATACGATAATTAGACATGCGGAGAAAAGTTCTTGTGACGTAAGAATTGTAGAAGAATAATAACGGGAATATATAAAATAGAGATTAATATATAATGACAATATTTCTTGTCAAAAGAGATATAATACATTGAAATATGTTAATTTGAACGTATTATATTTTATATATTTATATATATTTTATGAAAATAAAACGATAGGAAATCTTATTATTGCGCACACATATGTATGTATGTTTTATATCTTTTTTTTCACCTAAAAATATCTTAATTTTTATAAATTCTCTCCTATATTAAAATATCCATATCTCGTCGCAGACATATTTGCGCTTGATTTGCAACGTTATTATCAGACAACAGTTTGTCATTAATTACGTAATGCACGTGATATCAGTTGCCGATCAAAGACGAGTATCTTCTCTTTTCCTCATCTCTTAAATGTAACTCAAAAATATTAATTGCAATTCAAAAATGTGTAACTGCGATGGAAGTGCACTCAGATGCACTCAGATGTTTTGTGCTTTGATGTATGTTTAGCAGTTGTGTCAAAAATAAAAAAATCTTTCTTTTTCCCTAAAATATGTGTTTTTAAGGCAACATATATTTTAGTTAAAACTAATTTAAAAAATTCTACTGTTACGAAATGATAAAAAAATTTTTTCAATTAATAAAATACTTGTTTACAAAAACAAAATTTCTATTTAGTGACATTTCGATCATCAATAGAATTTCCCATGATTAATAGTTTCGATAAATGAAACCGACACAATCTTTCTGAAAGCGCAGACATAATTTCATTCACAGTCAATAGTTCACGATCGCTTTTATTAGATTACATTAAGGCATTCAAAATGATAAGTATCGCGAAAGTGCTAAGCGCAAAAATATTTCAATATGATTCTATACGCGATGAATATATTTGCCTTATTATTCATTGTTGTGGAATCTTATCCATGTGTACCATTTCATTTGATATATTCCTGGTCTTTATCAAATACCTATCTACTAATTAGCGAGGAATAAAAACATATTGCGTAAAACAGAATAACTTGCGGTGTACTAGGATAAGCACTGAAAGTTTCTGATAACTATCGTAATAACAGTTGCAATTGCAAAAATGAAAAATGCAAATTGTATAAAAATGTATTTTTTTATATTTTAAACAGAATGTCCAAAAATAATATTAAAAGTAGTAATACAATGTATACTATTTTTAAAATCAAATTGCACGCAAAGATTTGATATATATAAGATTCTTTATTTTATTATATCATCTTTTTCTTTCGTCATAATAATCAATAATAGATAAATTTTGATTTATATTATTTTACGCAGAATAAGATAGTAATTCGTGTTATGACTTGAGAAAGTTTAAAAAACACTAGCATTTTTTAACTTACTATATCACTACATAATGTTTGTAAGCACACAAATAGAGATTTAAAAATTTCGATATATTAGATACATCTTGTAAAAAAAATAATAAGAATAAAACAAGATATGATTCTGGCATATTTTTCGAATAATTTAAATATATAATATATGAATAAAATACAATGCTATTTTCTGAATAAATATTAACAAAAACTGTTCACCTAATTATTAATCTGACTAAAAGTAAAAGATCATTATGACGTGTTTTCTTATTTAATTAGATTTATTTTAAATTTGGACATTGAAAACACAAATCAAATGTGAGGATCAGAAAATTCTTTGTAATCTTACGTGGCAGATTTTTTGAAGGCCGCACGGAATCACCTGCAATTATTTATCAATGTCACATATTGATCTGACAGTCACAATATTAATTGTATGCGTTCAAAGATTATTTCTGCTTGTTTAATATTAATGGATTAAAAAAAGTGAAAATGATATAAATCGATTGTGCATTTATAAACCAGCATCTAATATTAATATTATTATATTAATATATCCTAATGCAATTAATTGCAATAATTTTGGACCCATTTTGTACATAAGTAACAAGTTTGTGACAAATGTTTCGACACACGCATACATCGCAGATTTATCATAAAGTGTTACGTGTTACATCTGCCAGACAAAAATAATAAGGAATAATTAAATTAAATCGGGAAACTCCAACATATATATTTTTCGCAAGAGGTGCAGCTTTTTCGCCAATAAAGGAATTGTCGAGACGCATCCGTATGTTAGATACGTTCCAAGGACAGCATTTAAAAACTCACCAGTCATGATCACGATCATATATGATGTAACGGCATAGAAATTGTCTTCTTATCAAATAACATATGATTTATTGTCGTTATTTACACGACAAATAATTTAAGTAACGTTTCGTTTGACGGTGCGACAAGTATGTATATAGATCGCGATTTTGCTTCTCGTCAGAGGAATAAACATTTGTGGAAAAAAAATTGTATATAAGTCACGGACTTTTAATTAATTTAGGAAATTTTCAGGAAAAATAGCTCGTATCGCTGAAAACGTGCATCACTTTTCGTCGGGACGGCATGCAACACACAACTTATATACGCTGTGTTAAAAAATTATTCGCAACTTACCCTAGACAATAACGAAAGTCCACTCTTCCAGTTGTTAGTATTTGCGGTTGACATGCGTTCAAAGAATAAAAATACGGTTAAGTTAAAGTATTGCAGTGTATAAAACCATCCCGCCTATCTCGGCCACGAAAGACACGTCCTTGAAATTATTGTCATCGATATTCGAGATATGTTGGATTTACGGTAAATCGAGTAAACAGGATATCAAATACCGTGGCTTATAATGACAATAATTTCAAAGACACTTCGCGAGCACGAGGAGGAATTTAACTCAAGTCAGCAGAAGAAAGGTCATCTTACACATCCACCATAAATCTTATAATTCTAAGCATTACGTCCCATGCATAAGTGAGAAAAGTGTCACCTATTCTCCCTTGTAAAATTAAGAAGTATCTTTTTCCTAACGCAAATTGTAAAATTTCGGTTGACAGTTCAAAATTAATTTTTGCCAGTTTTGAATCTGGAATTTTTATTTTAATAGCTATGTGTAAATCACTATTCAATTTCACACACAGTTATTGCTAATATATGTATTCACATAAAAGCATCATAAAAGAATTCATCATAAATTTATAAAGGTAGTGAGCTATTCAAAGTCGTCAGTCTCCAAAATAATAGTCCTCGTTCCTGACGAAATGACATCTAAATCTGCTCGACACCAAAAATAGCTGAGAGTTATGAATTTGTAAGTCACATACTCATCGATAAAATAAAATCGTATCGACAGGTCATCTTATTGAATAATATCTAAAAATATTTTCATAGTACAGAATTTAAGTTGTTTGCACGATATTAAATATTATAAATACTTTCAACATTAATGTCTTGTCGAGACAAAATCAAATTCAAATTAATTAAGAAACGCGATTATACATTTTTGAAATTTAATAAATATTCAAAGTCGAGTGTTAAAAAGCTGTAATATATCATTTTTCTAGTTTTGTGCCAAGTTTCTCCAAGTGTTGTTTAATGTTTCTTCAGTCGTATTATAATATTATAAATGTACTCAAATCGAGGTACAATTTGAGATATCAAAGTAACAATCCCCATATTTTTTTCGCTCGATTTGTCCTTATCAGTCGGCGCTATACAATTACAAATTTGCATGCATAGCCCAACAAGTGGCCTTACAAGTATGCGCGATAACATAACAGGAATACCGCAGGAGAGACGCGGAGAACGAGTCGGAATGACACGCGGAAAATGAACGTATCGGTCGCCAGATCCTGTAATGCAAACTGTTACGTAACAGTCTACAGTCCGCGAGAAGTGTACCTGTGCGAACTGTCTTCTTTTTCGACTTGTAACCTGTTACGGAGCGTACATGGTGATCAAGCATTCCCGGGATCAGCCGTTTTAGAGACTCGTACGGAAGAGTCCTTGAAACGACGCATCCGTTTTAAGAGTTTTAAGAGATTTACGCGACGTCTTTATCACACTTTGTTACAACCGCTCTCTTGACAGTGATACTTACGCGACAATAAAATTAGCTATTGTTATTTACAACAGAAGAGAAGCGGAAGGAAACGATAAACGTCATTTTCTTTGAATCTACACACAGAATTTTCTCTCAGAATTTACTTTGAAAGAATCATGGTAAGACGTGAGATAATATGGTATTGGGAGAATTTTATAAGTTTTTTTTTATTAATATTTACCACAATAAAAATTTTATCTGTCAATAAGATTATTCGATTAATTTTACTATGTACGTATATTAATATTTTTTACTGTGGTAAATATTAATCAAACAAATTTATTTTAAATTATAAATTTCTTCCAATACGATATTGTCCCACAATTACCATGATTTTCATGATAAATTCTACGAGAAAATTCTCCCCGTCTAGTTTTTTCAACGAAATAAAAGTGTCTATTTATATAATTATTTTATTACACGAATTAAAATAATTTAACATTTTTTTAAATGTTTAGAATTTAGATCGTTTAAAATAATAAACATCTTTCATCAAATTCTGTGTGTTTAAAAAATAATATTTAATTTTTATTTAAGTATCCGTGATGCTAATTCAGCTCCTGACATTTCTCGAACATATTTTATCACGAAAATTTCTTTTATTGACGAGTTTTAATGTTCTAACGCTCATATAAGATCGTTTTCTGCTTCGCTGAGTAAAATCTGACATTAATTCCTACTTGAAAAATTCTTTGAAACATTGCATCGTGCTTCATGGTCACTATAACGAATTATGATTCAATTACCTGATAAATTCATCGCGCAGTTAATTGCGAAACACATGCTCCAAGTGCGATTAGAAACATTAGCTCATAAGTTACTCATTATTACAAAATTCCAACTGTGTTGTAGGCACTGATAAAGCTGTCATTTTATATCACGTATTAAACGTGATGACAAAAATAATTCAATATACCTAATCAATTATATATGTTCAATTTTCTATATCAATTTATAATTGTACAAATTATATTTTTCATGAATCATTAACTGAGAGCGACCGATTGTTCACGCGATTATCAGCAAATTTATTTCCTGAAGAAACCAGAAATTATGTTTCACAAATACAAGGAAAAGAAAATTACTATAATTAAATGTTAAATAATTAAAAGAATACTTGTTTTATTTCTGCAAGTTTTAATCTGATAAAAAAATAATTTCTCAATACCCGTGTACCTTTTTAATATATTTATTAAAAAACATATACTTTTTTTATTTAATGTCATATTTTCTATATTAATTCATGAAAGAATTTATTTGCCGAGCCTGGACGGAAAAAGAATGCGACGTAATCTCGACAAGCGTATCACATTCAACAAACACTGGCAATTTGCACGAGAACCAACCTCTCTATTTAAGGGTTAATATGAATTTTAATTGAGAGAAAGTGACAACGCATTGTAGAAACGCTCGAGAGAAAAGCGACCGAAATAATCAATGATACTGCGTGCGGCAAATTAGAACGATGCATGAGAAGGATGCAATCCAATCTCAGAACGAAAAAAGAAAAAGAATAGAAGGTGTGTGAAAAAAAAGAGCACGTTCCATTGAAGTGTACAATTCTTAAATTCGAATTCCTAATTAAAATTCCTAATCCTCGATTCTCTGAGCAATTAGTAGTCAATTATTATTTGATAAAAATGTCAAGGCATCCTTCTTTTTACCATATAAGCAACAAAACTCTTCATACTTTCTTGAGAAGAAATTCCTCAAGTGGCTCCTCATCGCGTGACTCACCGAGCGGTATTTTCATACAACTGACGTAACACGCACGATTGGATCGTTTAATAAGCGACACGCGTATCAGACAATGTATACGCGCGGGCGGTCTCATTCGCGTTCCTCTTTCTCATTTCTCTCTTTAATCGCAATCGTAACGCGATAAGGCGTTCTACTTCTTCTGCAGAACCGTGTTCCACGTAGCATAACGTTTTCTCTTCATTTTTAAAAAATTTTTTTAAATATCTTTGCAAGCCTCCTTTCTTGTGTTGATATGATTCATCAGTGAATTTTATTTTTTTCCAAGATAAGAATACTGATGAGACACCGAAGCATTCGTTTTCTATAATAGTATGTAGAAGTACAACCTATACATTTTTATATCTACAGATTCTTTTTGATCGATCAATAATTTCTCGTGAAGAAAATAAAGAGACATTCTAAAAATATCTATAAATAAATCAAACAACTATAAAAATGCTTTAATTAAATTTTGTCAATTTTACTTCGTTATAGTTCTCATCATATGCAAAAATCATCCTACATATATAACTACGCTATAAAAATTTATTAAAAATACGAATTAATATTTATTTTAATACTGCTTTACAAATCATTTATTTGAAACTGATAATATTGATTTGACGTGAAAAATATTTGTTTCAAAAAATGATTTATAAGACAGTATTGGAAGAAATATTTGAATAATTTTTTTTTCAGTGTAATAAAAAATGGGTATTTTCCTGACACCTTCCCAGAGCTCTTTTCTAGGAACGGGTAAGAAGTTTGTGTCCTCTCGAACTCTTACCAGGCCATCGTCAAACTCGTCGTCGTCGTCCGTATCCGAGCAGCCTCTCAGCTTTCGAACTTTCTTTTTCACCTCCTTCTTCACCACTCTTGTTATCGCGCTCTCCGGCTGCGTGCAATCGTCTTATAGTTAAGAGAAAAATTTGAGGAACGTGCACAAGGGCGCCAAGTGACTCATTACAGGAATGCTATCATCGGGGATAATCATCGTTA